TCATCAAAAAAATAAAGTAATTAAAGAAGGATGAGAATTCAGCTGCTAAATATTTAAAGAAAATTTTGATAAATTAAATAATTTTTAGGCACTAGAAGAACTAAGAGCCGTGTTCACAGCAGAGTTTGCTCACAAAACGTACATGCTTTTTTACAAATGTATCGACAGTGAAATAATGGAACAAATACTTAAAAATCATGAACATATACATAATTTGTGTCGTAAATATGAACAAGAAGCAAGAATCGCTTGTTCTAACAGCGGTACGTTATATTCTTTCTTTTAATGAATTCGTACATGTAATTACTATTTAATTTACCATTTCGTTTCTTTATTTTAAAGATAATGCTTCATATAATAGTAACTACAACATGACGGAAAACGTAGAATTAGTAAATAAAGATGCATTAAATTTTGAAAATATATCAGTGGTAGGAAATAGATTCTCGGTACAAAAGAATAATATCGGTGATCGTGTAGTATCTGAAGGTGCATCTGAAGCGAATTACTCTTCGTCCATTGGAAGACAGTTACGAGGGAACTGGTTAGCATATTGGGAACATGAAATTGGAAGATCAGAGAAAGATACGGCGTTTAATATAAAGCAAATAAAATTACAAACTTTTAGCGGTCACACTAACAGTGTCAAATGTCTATCCGTATTAGATAATGAAAATAGTTTTATGAGCGGAGGAAGAGACAAGACTGTAAAATTATGGAGTTTGCGAAGTCAGGTAAAACTATAAGAAATATCTGGTAAATCAGAGGAAACTAATTATATATTTTATTAATTTAGGGAGATGGAAATACCGTTTCGTCTTGTCAGTATACTTATACTGGACACAAAAAATCTATTCTTGCCCTTACGTTCCTAGAATCTTTAAGATACGTAGTCACTTGTGACGGAACGATTCATTGTTGGGATCCTTTCATGGGTTCTCTTCTTGGATGCCCAGAAAGTTCTCGACCTGTTCCTGTGAATACACTTGTCGCAAGCCCTTCGCCGTGTACAACTTTACTTGCTGGAACAACTGATATTACGCTCAGAGTTATTGATTGTAGAACTTTTCAATATGTAAATGAAATGAAGGTATCTGTGAATCCAACAGGTTTAATTAGATGTATCGCAGTAGCGCCTAGTGGTTACTGGGTTGCGTTAGGACAGGCATCAGGCTTTCTAACAATTTTAGATATTCGCACTGGTCTTATCATTGCTTCTTGGAAGGGTCATGAATGTGAGGTATGTTATAATGTATTATCAATAAAATATTTCAACTTTTTGCAGTTTGGAAAGTTGTTCAACTATTATTTTTTTTTTTTTTTGTTAGATATTACAATTAGAGGCAATCAATGAAACAACTATAATTAGTTCTTCGTTGGACGAAACTATTGCCGTATGGAGTGCATTGGATGGGAAACTTAAATTTCATATGAAGTAAGATAAAATATCATTTTATTATCTTTTCTATTTAACTTATATTGTTCTGCGTACTTTTAATTGCCAGGGGTTCTACCGAGCCGGTGCATTGCATGGCTACTTACGAACAAGAATTAATAATAGGAACAACAGCAAATCGTGTTGGAGTTTATTCTTCCATTGAAACAACAACATCATTTTCATCATCAAAATTAAAATCTGATACTTTTAAAGGACTTCTCACTACGATGGCAGTGCTCCCTCTTAATAGATTACTATTGTTAGGTGCAGATAATGGAGGTATAACATTGATTTGTTGAATATTGTACATACATAAATAAAACTTCTAAGTATATAAATAAATTTAAATATAATTTAGGAATGTAATATAATTTCACTTATCAATATTATTATACAAAAAAAATATAATCTAATGTTTATAAGATTATACAACAAATTCACTTAAAAAAAAAAATTTTATACGTTTGTGATATCTGTTCTTGTTCCAATTACTTTTAGGGCAAGTTCAGGAGTCATCTTATGTACTCCAATTTCTGCTAACACTTCTTTCCCTGTGATTTCGTCATTAAGAGCTTCACGTAGTAACATTGCCGAACCTAACATGATATTTAATAAAATGCACGCTTCTTTAATTCTGAAATATAATTTGAATAATTAAAACATTGTCACATACTTTTCTGTCATTTATAACTTACAGTGGAAAATACGATTCTGGCTCGCTGATATATAAACCAAATAATGGGAACAAATTTCTAAAAACATCATGTTGCAATTGTTCGGCCCCACCCACGTTAAAATGATTCACCAGAACAACTTCTTCTAAAAGAAACTGTAATAAAATAATATTTAATACAGAATTCATTAAATTCAGATTAATAACTTACTTGATCAAACTGTGAAGCCAAATTTTTCCAAGCTTGATGAAATAGAGGCAACGCAAGCGTGTTATGTAGTAGATTAAGTTGCGTTGCTAATTCTTGAAACATAGAGTAACCGCTTGGAGTGACCGATAACGAAATTACTTCTTTAGTAGACTGCATTGCGAACCACCTATAAAATATAGATCTCTGCTCTTCATATTTATCAATACAATTTTATATATGTATTATATTAACTGCATATTAAATATTCTTACTTATCTGTTCTATACGGTCTACTTTTTGCTTTTACATCCAAAGCAACGGAGTCGGTAATTTCATTTATCCATTCTTCTTCCGATCTTCTTAAAAGTCCTACTGCTTCATCAAATACCGTACCCTCAACTTCACCTACATTTTTAGTGATGTTATTCCCTTCTAACGTTGCAGTTTCGACTGCTTCGAATTGTTTTTTGAAAAAATACAATTGCAAGAAATGCTGTAATATCAATAAACAATGTAAGAATAATACACGTAATCATTTAATTGTTTTTGAAACACTTACCACTGTCACACCCCATTCTTCTAAGACAGTTGCAACGTAGTGTAAGGTATTAAGAATACAGGGAATAAGAGACGTTAAGAATACATGGTATGATAGGTGTTCATAATTTTCACATAACAACTGAAGTAATCTTATTCTCCAATCATCAATAAGCTCCAACTGAAGTTCAAGGAACTGTAACCTTTATAAATTTTATTTTTCTATAATAATAAATTGCTTTGAATTATAATAGGGAATATTAGATATGTATTGTTTACCTGTGACCTGGTTGAGGCAAATGCTTGTACCTATCGGAGATCGTAGTAAGAAGAGTAAGAAAAGCATCTGCACATTCGGTTACTTTCATATCATCACTATCGGAATTTATTAACTTTTCCCAAGCTGTACTTGAACTTAAAATAACATCCATCTTTTCAGTAGCATCTAATATAAAATGTCAATATTAACATCTATCATATGTAGACTTATTTTGATAAAAAGTATATTACATTTTTTTTCCATATTAATCCATTTGACAAAGATATGAGCTTGTGTAAGAACGAAAACAGTGGCTGGCTGAGCAGAAGGATAAAATAAAGTTTCTCTCAACTCTCTTTCAAAACTCAGAGCCTCGTCAACTAAATGAGCAAACAAAACATCATCGTATTGTACTAACGATAGTTCGGAATGGAGTTTTTCAACTGCTAACTGCACCAAAGCCCGCATAAATTCTACCTAACAAAAAAATTATATTAAAATGTAATAAGGGATAATATGTATTAAATTAATTTAGTAATACCTTCATATCTACGTGATTAAAACCTATTGAATTCGCAGTTGGTTGGACATTCTTTTGTACCCACTGAACATGATCTTTGATCCATGTTAGTACCTGGGTAAAAAACCACTCTGGTTTATCTTGTCGATTTGTTAACTTTGTACCTGTGAAATGATATATGAACCTCTGTCTAAGTGGTCGCACCATCAGTGAAATTGGCAAACTCACAGGTTTAAAGTCTGTTAATAATACAGATGTTACCACTGATTTAACAGATTCTTCTCTAGACATCGTTACGTTAAAGGTAATATAAAAGAACTTAATGATTCAAAGAGAAGAGGATTAGAATAAGCAAAAGGATACGGTAACTGCAAATGTAATAAATATTTTGTAAGTATCTTAAATTTAGTTAATGTTTCTGGGATGGATGTATTCAATGAACTTGTATTACTACCGCAAAAGGGCCACTTCAGTGCTTTCAATACATCATTATATTCTCTAAAAATTATTATATATAATATGCTGTGTTGAATGCAAATAAGTATATTAGATATTAGATAAAAATATACTTGGATAATTTATCCTTTATAAGATTGTGCCAATAGCGTAGTGTTTCATTTGTATAAATCTGGAGATAATGGCAAGCTGATGACCTCAACTGGCAGCTAATATTTGTAAGATTTGTATATAATGAGATAGCTGATTCATCATCACCAAGTGTTAAACATGTTTCTATTTCATCACTGAAAACATATTTCTTTATATTTGTGAATAATTGCCAAATGTCTTTTTTTAAATAATATGTTACCTAATATCTTCAACATATTTTATGAAGTTCAAATAAGATAAGGATTTCTCTAAATAACTTATAGCATCGATAATTTCTTGAACATTTAAAGTTTTATCATTTTCATCTATTGTCTCTTGTACGCTTGATCTGAACTCTATAGAAGACTGTTCTAATCTTTGAAATTCAGTATTAATGTTTTCAACACTTTCTATCACAGCTTTTACTTTTGAAGGGGCTTCTGTTGATGCCATTGACAGCTAAAATTTAAAAAGCTTGGTATATTATATATAATATATGTTACATTTGGTAAATGAATTTTGTTGCAAAATTTTCAAGTAGATAACATAACAGTTTACAAATACGTACCGATTTTTCAATTTCATTCTTTTGTGCAATAAGACGCTGATGAAATTCATATATTTTATTCGGTCTTTTTAAATCAGAACCTAGCTCTGCATTGAATTTTTGTAAAATTTTTTCTTTTGTACCTGCCATATTGTTATATTATAAATATTCTGAAATGTAATTGAATGTCAAAGTGGATTAATTTGAGGTTATGATCTTGTATTTGTCACACATATAAATGTCTATATATGTATACAATAGTATGGAATAGTATAGGATAGTATATATATATACACAAATGTATTTATATATATACCATTGTTTTAAAAATGGCTGCCGTACATCGAGAAGCTATTCAAAAACAAATTCAACAAGATTGGGCAAATCGAGAATATATAGAAGTTATAACTGGTAGCATAAAAAAGATAACTGACTTTCTTAACTCCTTTGGTAATTTCTTTTAAATATTGCATGAAAATACTATTTTCTAAGCAGAATATTTTATCAAAATGAAACATGTCTTCCCTGTCAAATGAAAAATTTTGATTTAAGTTTAAAGTATTTAGTAGGGTCTCATAAAATAAAGATATTTGCAACATTAGATAAATTGAATTATGTACATTAAAATGTAATTTGTTATTATTTTATCTGAGACAGATATGTCCTGTAGATCAAGGATAGCTGTCCTCAACGAGAAACTTACAACACTCGAAAGAAGGATTGAATACCTTGAAGCATGCGTAAGTTATCTTTATAATTAAAAAACATGATATAGTAAGTTTGAATTTATTTACAAATTATTGTTTTCACAGGTAACAAAAGGGGAAACATTAACATAAATTATTGTTAAACCTGCTTTTAGAAATTGTAATTTTTTGTATAAGATTATAAATGAATAAATATATATGTGTATATATAATAAAAAAAAGTTAATAGTGGTATATATTCTTTTAATGATAAGTTCTACAACAAATGTATTTATTAACACTTAATTTAATTAGTATAATCATCTAATGGTTCAGTTTCGCCTGTCCAATAGTCCCAATAATCCCAATTTGGATTTCTGTAACGAATACCATTATAAAGGTAACTAAATGGTGTTTCTAATCCTGATTCATCCACTCTACGAGCCTTATTTATGGCCATTATACCAGCTGCCCACAATATGCACTGAGCAATATCAACATTACGAATTTTAAGCCATGACTTTAAAAATGGAGCAGTGGCAATTGCTGTAATAAAGTCTTAAATTAGTAATGTAACATTACATTTACAACATAACATTAGGAAACCATTTACATACTGCCTATAGCATGATTAAGAGGATCATCTTTTTCTCTGATACGTGTGGACATATATGTAACACTGGCAAAAACAACACCTATGCCACATGAATATAACATAGGACGTAGTCCAGTTATAACTTTGACTATCGCAGAGTTAGTTTTAACTCTTGTTACTGCATCAAATACACCTACTATGGCTCCCACTGTGGTAGTCATTCTTGCAGAAGCTACAATTTTTCCAATTAGATCTTCTCCATCTGGTTTGTTATAGTAATATTTTGAGCACTCCATAGCTAGTGATCCCAAGACAGAGAATAACTTTTATAATAATTATTTTATTATAAGAAAAATAATAAAAATCAGTTATATACATACTTGCAAAAAAATTTTTTACACTAAGATATTAGTGTAAAAATAATGCACGGATTTAGCTAAGTAATAATCATCTAAAATTGGATATTATTTATTTGACACTTCATGAATCTCTGTGTAGTTCGAAATTACATAACACGAACAAACTTAATGATAGATTTGTAACTGACCTGCTTAAATAGTTACAATGAGTTTTATGTAGAAGTTTCTTCGTAAACTTAGACAAAAATACTATAAATTAAAGAAACCGATTTCATATTAATCGTTTTTTTATCGATAAACGATATTTTAATAATTATTGGAAGATATTTAATATCATATAAATAGAGCTTAATGATTACAGCGCATCTACTGGCATTTGAAAGTACTATACACTTCAAATTTGTTGCATTCAAACCGTAATAGCACAGTGGTAACGGCATAACGGGTAATTTTGTGATTACTTTTAAGAAAGAAAAGCAGTATATTTTTGCGTTTACGAAAAAGTTTTTTGAGAAAATAATATTAATTTAAATAATTCTAAACATGAATGATACAAAGATTAGTCGAAAGGATAAATATCAGCACATACAAGTATTTGTTCGTGTTAGGTGAGCAATTCATTAATTTGAAGTTTAATAACAAAAACTTTTGATTTATTTAAATTAGCATAAAATAATTTCTTAATTTTATTAGGCCAACAAATGTTATTGAAAAAAATAATAAATTCAAAAACATAGTAGAAATTCCTAATAACAAAGAACTATTAATACATGAACGTCCATACGATAAGGTTTCTAAGAAATTTAAGTTTGACAATGTATTTGGACCTTCCTCAAAACAGGTATATGATTTTATTATATCTTAATGTTATATATATATATGCTAAGAAAGTAATTTTTATTATATCATTTTCAATTAATAGATAGATGTGTATAATATTGTTGTTAGTCCATTATTGGAACAAGTTTTGGCTGGATATAATTGTACAGTATTTGCATATGGTCAAACTGGTACAGGGAAAACATTTACCATGGAAGGAATCAACAGTGATCCAACTTTACATTGGCAGAGCGTAAGTTTTATACTTTGTTACATGATATAAAGCTTATATTAATAAAATTATATGTATCTTACATTATAGGATTCATCTGCTGGTATGATTCCACGATCTTTAAGTCATTTATTTGACAAATTGCACTTATTAGAGTCAAAGGAATACACAATTAGAGTTAGTTTTCTAGAACTTTATAATGAAGACTTATTTGATCTTTTATCACCTAGTGATGATGGAACTAAAATAAGGTATATAAAGGCAATTGTTTAATGGTAGATTAATAATAAGTATCTTATCAAGTCTGTACAATTTCCAATTAAATATTTCTTGTACAGATTATATGAAGATGCATCAAAGAAAGGTGCTGTAATTATTCATGGACTGGAAGAAGTAACAGTCCATAACAAAAGTGAAGTTTATAAAATTCTAGAAAAGGGATCAGAAAGAAGGCAAACTGCTGTAACTCTAATGAATAGTCAATCCAGGTGTGTGTTTCTCATTTTTTTTATTACTGAAATTGTATCTTTATACAGGATTTTATTGCAGCCGATCTCATACTGTGTTCTCGATTACCGTACACATGAAAGAAAATACATCTGACGGAGAAGAGGTATTAAAAACGGGAAAATTAAATTTAGTAGATCTAGCAGGGAGCGAAAACGTTGGAAGATCCGGTGCTGTTGAAAAGAGAGCAAGAGAAGCTGGTAGTGTTAATCAGTCTTTGTTAACTCTTGGCAGAGTCATAACAGCTCTCGTTGAAAGAGCACCTCACATACCTTACCGGTAATAAGAAGTATTACTTTTATTGTTACATTATAGGAAAAATAATCTGTTACACTTTTTTTTCCTTATAGAGAGTCGAAACTGACAAGACTGCTACAAGAGTCACTTGGTGGTCGCACAAAAACTTCTATTATTGCTACAATATCTCCTGCCGCAGTTAATCTTGACGAAACGCTCTCAACATTAGATTATGCGCATCGTGCAAAGAATATTACTAATCGTCCGGAAATAAATCAAAAACTTTCGAAGAAAGAATTCCTTAAACAGTATACAGTTGAAATTGAGAGATTACGAAAAGATTTGGAAGCAACGCGTGAAAAGAATGGTGTTTATCTAGCGGATGAAAATTATCAAGAGATGCAAGCATTGATTACTCAACAAAATAAAGAAATAGAGGAGAAAATAAATTATATTAAAGCACTTGAAAAATCTATGCAGGATAAGGAAGTGAATAATGAATTTCTTCATTATTTATTATTATCATTACTGTTATAAAATTATGTATATTTTGTTATAGAAAATATATAATGAACTTGAATTACAAACAATTGCTCAAATGAAGGAGTTGGGCGAAGTTAAAGCTAAATTAGATAATGTTATGGGTGCTCTGAAATCTACGGACGAACGCTTAAAAATGACAATTGAGGAACGAGATAAACAAAAATATCTAGTAGAAAAATATGTTAATACAGAGCAATCTTTGTTAAACCAAGCTGAAAATTTATTAAATGTTGCTGATGCAGCAACATCAGATTCAAGTAAATTACACGATAAGATTGGCCGCAGAACGTATGTTCATTATGTTTAATGAATATTTAATATTCGGTTTAAAAATAATAAAATATTATTTTATGTCTATTATCTGTTTTAGTCAAGTCGAACAAACCTTTGAAGTTCTTAGTGGACAGTTCATGAATAAAGTATCGAGCTGTGTACAAGGAATTGAAAAAGATGTTTGTACATATGCGGAAGAAATGATGAATTCTTTCACGTCTGTAAAAAGTGATATCGGTAAGCATATAGTATTAATTCTAGCAAACGTTAATTTATTATATCTTGCTATTTTTTTTTTAAACCAGGTGCGCAAAGTACTAATAAATGTGAAAGTATGGATACAGCAATACATCAAATTGCAACGAATTTAACTAAACAACATTTATCTAATATCGATAGCTTAAAAAAAAGTATAAACGAATCTGTACGTATTCATTTAAAAATAGTATATTTGCATGCTATTACAATTATACGTATTCATACATACTTAAACATTTCAGTATTTGAATGATCAAAATTGGATGAAAAGTAATATTACAAATTTAGCGGATATAATAGAATCAGACCCTGAATTATTTAACGAAATTTCGAAAAAGTTAGAATACAATATTCAGAATATAATAAAATACGAAATTGTTAAGAACCTACAAAAGTTAAGAAATAATGTAACTCAAAAATTAAAGCAAACTTCAACTCTTATGAAAGAAATGATCGATTCTGCTTGCAATACTCAACTAGAAGCCTGCAATGATATAAACAAAAATATTAAAAGTATTGCAAACGATGTGGAGATACTTGATAAAAGGCAACAGTTTACAGAGAAATATCATTTATTTGCAAAGATGATGGAAGATGCATCTTCTCAATTCAGTCTTTTGCATAAGAGTCAAGAGGAACACCATTCTTTTGTAACTGACAAATGTAATTATGTCAGTAAAGTTTGTAATGATACTGCTGATTACTCAACAGATAGTTATAATAAAAGTGTCAAGATGCAAAATGATCTAAAAGAACAAATACAAAGTAATTTAGAAAAAATTGAAACTGATATTGTTCTTAAAACAAGAGAGGTAATTTTCATTTACTACTTATAAACTTATATTTCATTATTTATAATTGATTGTACTTTTTTTCATTGGTAGAATGAAGAATTAGTCAACAGAACAGCAGAGCAAGGAAAGATTCTGGTAGATGAATTAAAATCAAATATAAACGAAAACTGTAACTTACTGAAACAACATAAAAATCTTACTGAATGCAACGTTAAAGAAGCTCAGCAAAAAGTAGATACGGATAGAGATAAAATTCTTTCGTTGGTTGATGTAAGTTTAAACCATCTTTGTAACAAGATATTAAAAAACAGCTTTCGGTAAATAGATTTTTTCTTTGTAGAATGCGCAGAAAATAGTTATAGATATAGGTAAAGATTATGCAGAAACGATGAGAAATCAAGAAATAAAAACATCTGAAACTTTGAAAGAAATAACCAGCAAATTAGAAGATAAAGTAATGGAATCAAGTGCATGGAGGGAAAGGGTTGTTGAACAATTACAATCAACGCGAAACGAAGTTAACAAATTTTTTGAAGAAGACGTAAAGCGAGATGTTCCAACAGGTACTATTATATAAAAATTGTAAAATAGAAAAATTCAAATTTATATTATTTATTTTTTATAGGTTCAACCCCTGCTAGGAAAGAATTTTCGTATCCCCGTCAGTTTGTCGCAACATCACCCCACGATCGAATTCTTCAGAGATTCAGACAAACTAGAAAAGTTATTGAAACGTCTATAGATGAGGTAAGTAACTAATGCATATTGCAGAATACATGTAAACTATTTTTCTTTCATATGTTATGCATGTAAATGTGTTTAGGATGATATGAGTGGTGATATAACAATGAGGGAAATACCACACTCAACTATTCTACTTGCACATGATACTACTCTTACATCTCCTGCAACTGATACAACATTTGTTGAATCTACCCTTAACAGTGATTTGGAATCACCCAATTAAACGAATTCATATTTTGAGAATAAATGAAAATGATCTTGTGTCAAAAAATTAAAAATTTGTACAAAAGTAAATAGTTGATAGTATTTGATATACATAACTAAATAAAAAATATTTTTATACAATTTGATTATTCTGTATGTTATATATGATTATGTAAAATAAAAACAATTTACAAAATTTTGTTACATTTACCTATTTTATTTATTTTTCTTGTTCAGCATAGATGTCGCCAAAGCCCTATTCCAAGGCGCAGCCATTGCGTTTCTCCTGACTTACGATCCATCGATTATTGATGTTCACTTCAATTTTTTCGAAAAAAAACAGATGCTATGTAAATTTCTCGGTAGTTTTAATCGCTCCGTGCATTTGATACTTCAAGCATACATAATATATTTTAACTTTCAACACTTACAGGTAGAATGAATTGATTTATCATAAATTTACGGCGTAAAACTTCCACGCTTGACATTACTTTCGAGATGATTCGATAGTATCGAGCTTTTTTGGCAGGTCGACATAAAGATGTACTTCGATGGTAGATTAGAATGTTATTAGTCATTCGTGTTTGTAAGTAAATATCAGCTGGATGCGTAAAGGAAAACGTAACGTAATTCCGTGACAGCGCGTAACGGACGTAACTGTCGAACGTATTTTATTCGAAGAATCCACGATAAAATGGGTCTTTTCCAGACTTCTTCGCCTTTCGACGCTGACGTCGGTGAGTGACAGATTTCTCCCTAGCCTTAATTCATTTAAGATGGTTATTCTACATTGCTTATTCTGTTCTTAGAAGAACGTTTCATCTCGTAACAATTAATCACTTCTTTTTTCATGTACTTATTAAATTTTACGTTTATCCTGGAAAGTTGAAATTTCATATTTAGTAGTTGCTTTAAGCGGTTGTTGACATTTGACCTCCAATTAAAACACCAGATATCACGAATTACTTCATTCTCTTTTTTCCATCTTGTCGATTAACTCTTTATAATATACATCATGAAAATATTAATTTGTAACAAAAATAGTATAATATCTACAGAAATATTTTAAAAAATTAAAATTATGGCAATTTTTTAATTTGGCAATTTAATTAAAATTTATATGTGCAGAATATGTAATAATGGAATTTTTTAGTATTTTGTTGATTATATTTAATGGTTTTGTTACCTTTTATTGTATTAGAAAAGGCAACTAGCGAGAAGAATATATCCGAAGAATGGGGGAAGATAATGGATATTTGTGATAAAGTAGGCACCTCTACTCAACATGCAAAGGATTGTTTACGATCAATTGTTAAAAGATTAGGTTCTCCAGATCCACACATTGTTATGCAGGCATTAATTGTTAGTATATACCAGAAAATTTATATAACATACTTATGTGGTTGATAAATTTTTATAATTAATATCTGATTTTTAATTTAGTTATTGGATGCGTGTGTCAGCAATTGTGGGAAACCCTTTCATTTAGAGATAGCATCAAGAGAGTTTGAAAATGATCTGAGGAAACTCATTAATCACTCTCAGCCAAAGATTGCAGACAGAACTAAAGGGTTTTTGAAGAAATGGGCTGAAGGAGATTTCAAAACTGATCCTCAGCTTAATTTAATTCCAAGTTTATACAATAAACTTAAAAACGAAGGTTATGATTTCTCTTGTGTCTCGGATATGGTAAGTCTTTTTGTTTATGCATTCATCGACCTAAGACTTCATATATGGACACATCTAATCTTTCATTTAAGTATTCAGTAAAATGATAAGGCTATCACATATTGACGTCCTACAGTGTTTTTCCTGTAATTATTCATCTATTGAATAATTATTAGGTTACATTTAATAAAACAGTTAGTTTCATTTAAAATGTCATTATTATTAAACACAATCAAACCAGAGCATGTATTACATTCAACAGATTTATGTTCCTCTTTTAGCCTAAACGTACAAGCATATTAAGTAAAGATCCAAATGTAGTAACGAATTCACAAGAAGAAGAAGATATTGCAAAAGGTATTTTTTAACATATATAAATAATATCTCTTATTAAACAAAACAAAAAAAACATGGTTGAATTAATTATTTTCTTTCTAGCCATAGAACTTTCGCTTAAAGAAACTAAAGCTCAAAATCAAGTGTCTTGTTCGCATAGTTCACCAGCATCTAAAAAGAATACTAGTTTATACCCAAATGTAAACGCGGCGTTTGGTGGTTCAAGCAATTCTGAAGGCAGGAAGGTCCGTGCTCTGTATGATTTCGAGGCAGCAGAAGATAATGAATTAACATTTTTAGCAGGAGAAATAAGTATGATATGAATTCTTTTAAAATTTATTTTTAAAGAAATTGTATTTTAATTACTGCTAAGTCACTGTTATCGATTGAATTTTAGTTAACATTTTGGATGATTCCGATCCGAATTGGTGGAAAGGCAGTAATAATAGAGGTGAAGGACTCTTTCCCTCTAATTTCGTTACTGCAGACTTGTCTATGGAGCCTGAACAGTTTACAAGTAAGTTTCTATATTAATTATATTAATTGATAACAAATGCTACATGTAAATTTGTATGCAGAATTGGAACACAGTAACAAAAAAATGGTTCAGTTCGCTGAAGAAGTAGAAGTGAAAACGGTGAAGAGAGAACCGGAAGTGATCGAAGTTGAAATAGATGAAAGGAAAATGGATAGACTTTTACATTTATTACATGAAGCTGATCCACAGTGTGATACTTCAGATTCACAGGAGATGCTTGAATTGGAAGGTAATGCTATTTTTTTATTTTATATAACACTTATTGTAACTAATTAATAAAATTTTTCAATAATATTTTACAGAACAAGTAACTGCGATGGGACCTTTAATAGACGCCGCTTTAGAAAAAGTAGATAGGAGGCATGCGCAACTAACTCAGTTAAGTTCTGATTTGGTGGATGCTCTTAATTTGTATCATACATTGATGCGAGAACCACCGCCTCCTACGCCGTCTAATTACACTTTACCTAAAATGTCACCGCATATAAATCCTTACCAGTTTCAAAATCAGGGACCACCACCACCACCACAACATGTAAGAATTATTACATGTTTAAACATTCTTACGATAAGTGCAATTTTTTTAATTTATCTCATTGTTGTTTTCAGATATATAATGGAGTACCTCCGCCCCATCAATCTTTTCCTGTTGGAGGTGGTCCATCCGGACCGTATAACACTAATATTCCAACTAGTGAATATATGGGGCCTGCGAGTATGCCAAACATGATGTTATCGCAACATTATCATGTTCCACCGACAGGTCCGCATCAACATTCTTCAGGACATCCTCAGGGTTTACCAGTGCCAGAGCAAAGCAATCTTCATTACTCTCATCAAGGGTATGCGTTAAAGATAATAACTTAAACGTTTTAAATAATAAGATTTAAAAGCATTGTGAAATTTGTAAACCTTGCTCATCGTTCTTGAATTTAATAGCGGTACAATGTTTAACAAGCATTTCATAATATTTTATAACAGATATCCACCTCAAAGTGGTCCATTGCCAGGATCGTATGGTCCATCAGGACCGACAGGACCTCCGGTAAGCCAACAACCTCAATATGCTCCGCCAAATGGGCAGCGCATGATGTAAAGTAATGCTGTATGTTTCAAATTCATCCTGTACTCTAATTCAAGTTGTACAATATTACTATATTATAATTATTTAAATAAACATACCCGAAATAGCCAAAGATACTGGGTTTTTGATGGAAGTTTTGTATTCAAAACTTATCGTGTAAGCTTATTATTTATGCATATACACATGAAAATGTATTAGGAGAGAACAGTTTATCTTGTTAAAGTTAGAAAGATCGTTGTTATATCTGTTTTCTTAAAGTATCTTTGTTAGGCTTGTCATTCAAATTCAATTAGCACATTCCTTTCATCCGATTAGCGTTCAATTATTCGATTTTGTATAAGTAGTAACCTTGAATACTATTATATTTTCAAAGTCAAAAGAAAAAATGAAGAAAGTAAAAAAGGATTATTGGCTACAGATGTGCAGGTGCCCATCTGCGCATCCTTATTATTGGTTCACAGATAATATGTATCTTTCAATTGATGTCAAACTTGAATTGTATAACAGGCTTTTCTTTATTTATAATGTATTTTGTAAAGTTCGTTGTACATTTGTAATGAAAGTTGCATTGTCATTTCTCGTGTAATTACAATCGTACACAAAATATACCCTATAAATGGTAAAGAATTGTATTTAAAGCAGTACCATATTTTATAGTTTTTTACTGTCATTCAGAAAATTCTTTTCTTTTTAAAGAAGATGGTACATAGTTACATAGTTTTAAAAAAAGCTGCTCGAATTAAATAATTGTTGAAATAAATTTATAATCTATTATCATGACAAAACGTCTCAGCGTAGTCTAGTCTGTCTACTATGTATAATAAAATTGTTTCCTATTATTTATGGAGCGATACACGGGGAGCTTTTTATAAACTATTAACGTATAATACTCGCATACCTTATATTAATTCGTATTATCTTAAAACAGAGAAGGGAGAACAAACAAGTGTCTTTTTTTAAATTTAAAGATAACATTTGATATTATAATTTCTTTAACAGACCTTTATTTTTAAATGATTTATATGTAGAACTCATATTTTATAGTTAACAAGTGATATTATTTGTATTAACAAAAGAATTTTAAAGAGCATGAAATAAGAAAATTATAAGAGATGTTAAAAAAATAGCAGAATTCAAATATATTAACAAAATATATTTGAAATAAATTATTTCCTAATAGCAATTGGAAAATAACATTTACTCAACAAAATATTCGAAATTCAGAAATGTTTTAAAAAATATTAAATTTTGTAAAGATGCAAACAAACTGAGGAAGTAATAAGAAAGGAATACTATTCTTTTGTAACAATTATGTATTTTACTTTAAATGCGTTTCTATTAAAAAGAGTAAGAAGGAAGAGATAAAGATGTAGAAAGTGAAAGAAGAATGAGCCCTATGGGAAGATAAATGTAATTTGCATTGTATATAACAATTGTCATTAAACAAATTATTTAAATAACTGATGATAAAACTATACTTTTGTTAATAAGAATAACCAGTATGTTTTAATAAGAAATTAAAAAGTAAAAACGTATCTATTATATCTATAACATTTTCTTTTGTATACTTTTATGTTTTTATTTTGATGTTTAAATTTCATAGCCATGGGAACAAAATATACAGGATGTCTTTGAAAAGGATAACTTCCTTATTTATTAAAGTGTTCCACTTAACTATTCTGTAATTGAATGAGCTATCCTTGCAACACAAAGGATATAAAGCATTAAGATAGGACGTGTTCTTTTCACCAAAACGAAATGAGTTCATCATGGAATCTGAAACAATACAACCACGTACGAGAATATTTTCGTTAAAATTCACTTCCGCCCCTTTTCGTGTAAGTGAAACGTTTTTTATCGAGATTCATACACAGGTGTACAGGAGGAAAGCGTTTTTTCCCACACACGATACCTCTTCAAGAGCCAATTCTTGTTCCTAAGATGTAACGTTTGAGATAACCGTATGAACATCACGTACTCTTATGTAAGGAACGCAATTAATCTGTCTTAATTTTTTGATAGACGAAATTAAACGAGTAAGGAGAATCGTGTTTATTATTTAATAAATGATTGGTTATTTTTGGAAATGGTATAAGTCTTGTAATAGTAAAAAAAGTACATAGGATATTTATCTTATATCATTTTAGTTATAATATGGCCTAACACCGAGGGGAACCCTGTATGAGGCACTCGTGTCTCGGATGTAAGGTGGGTCACTCCTCGTACAGGGGCAAGGACCGTCTACTAATCGACGGGAAACCACGTGGAATTGAAACATCATGCAAAACAAGAAACCAGTGTAATTCTTTCTATCTAATAATTTGTTTAAGTCCCTTTTTACTTTCTTTATAGTCATGACTGTTCCTCAGCTCTCGATTCTCACGCGTTAGCGTGTACTTTTTCTTGCACTGTCATGATCCAAACACCTACGTTTTTCTTATTTCCTACGTAACCTATCGCTTGGCTTTACATTGTCTGCTCAAAATTCCCACTCGCGTATAGTAAACGCGCTTCCTACCCGTCAACTCTTGATTAGCACCTAATACACCATTCATTAGACGCGTGCTCTAATTCGAGCTCATTTGTCCGATTATACAAGATATACAGAACGTTGAAAAAAAAAGGTAGTTATTAACATAGAGTGGGGGAGAGAGGACACCGGACAGCGTACTGAATCGGTAGAATAAATTGTTTGAAAGTGGTGAAGATGAAATGAGCCATGAAATAATTTCGCTTCGAACATTAAAAGACAAGATGGCGGCGTTAAATTTATGAACGAGAGTGTACATTACCATGCGAAGGAAGAAAGTTCCTTCTGAACATCGCACGAGGAAGAGTATTCATCGTTAATGTTCTTGCACCTTAATCGTATTCCTTAAAATGCAAAAAGTGGATCGTAATGGCGTAAGAAATAATGCAAGCAATAAAAATTCTATTACGTTATGGACACATTTAATAAAGATGAATTTTTTCCTTGCAGAATATAAGTGTAATAAATATCTGTCTATTCCGAAACAATAAAACTATTGAATTGTGAGAATCCCGATATGTTTTACGCAATCTTCAGTGAAAACGATATAGGATTTGATGTTTTCAAGAGATTCGCCACGGGAAGAAATCGAAACTTTCGCTTCCGAATTTTTACGTCACGATGACATGTTTAAGAAATTATTGGTTATTAAAACAACTGAAAGTAATATTTTTTGATTGCTATTTTAAATTCGAATATCTTTCCGGGATTTTTCCAGTTTAGATTTAAATTAACGACAAACTTCAAGTGATAGGAAAACAATTTTGTTTGAAAGAGATAATCGTTGTGAACCGAAACTCGTTTCCAATAGAGAGTAGAGAAAGGACAAATGGCACGTTTTCGTTGCCTGCAGCTGTTTTCAAAAATCTTCCGAGAATATTACCCAGGAAATACGTATCTATAAAATGCAGGAAATCAAAAGATTTTTATTTTTCAGTGTTGAGCGGGTAGTTTAGATTAAGGGGTCGGATCGGGCCGAGTGCATCCGATTTTTTCCGAGCCGACCCGAAGCTGTTTTCGGCATGTCTGTTTATCCCCAGACCCCTAATATTTCGTGTTAGTTTTAATTACGCAATTAATTGTATAAGAATTATATTGTGAATAAGAAATTTATGGAGAAAACAATGTTCTTCCGTGAGTATCGTAAGTAACAATTAAAAGTATCTATTATCGGAAGTAAGCACTGAAAGTGTTTGCAACAGTCCAATGCGCTTTTACGCGTTCTCTGGAACATTCGAGTATAACCGGGGTAATTTAATACTCGTTCAAACATTTCCATTCATTTTACCGGTAATATTAAGTAACATGCTAGTATTTTGACGATTAATAAACTCCTATCGGGAACACGATCTTGTCGCATTAATAATATAAGCGAAACAGCTTACATTATGCACTAAATACGGTTAGGTATCTTTAATACGGTAACATGTATATCGACCATCTTCACGTTTCTCTTCAATTTTAATATTATGCCCTGTTTATACCGTTTAATACAATTTCAGTTATTACGCGAATGAAAATTCTTCGGACAAAGGCAGATTCGTCAGCGAACTGACGTTCACCGCGCTACCAGTTCGTCTCCCACCTGGCCTTTGCAAAAGAATTCTTCCCTGGTCGGAGAGAAGTAAAACTCTCAGACGTTTTCCAATCTCCAACAGTCCCGAACTCGTCCTCGCGAACGTGTGAACTTGTTCAGCCAACTAGACTGCAACCCATTTGCCATTGTCCTCTTTTATTTTCATTTGATCGCCGGGAAAAGTAATTCATTGTTTTCTAAAACCGACCGGGGAAAAAGATTATCCCTCTGTTCGAGGAACACAGTCTGCCGTTCGTTTATTCTGTGAAACGATATCGTTCCTCGAGGAGTACCATTTCAATTTTTCTTTAACGACACTTCTTTTCGACTGTACTCCAGGAAACGGTACAATTATTTGGTTCAGTCGAGCGAGTTTGAAAGTAAGTTTTACGTAGGCACAGAAGAGGAAGTGGGGTGCCGATGTGCCGGTGGTGAAGTTCTCGTAAAAGAAAGGCCGATTCGAGTGCGAGCATCGATCCAGAAGAAGGAAGATCGTTTTTCGTAATGAGACCAGAGAATGTTCTATGCTTCCTGTGGATCGCTACGGTCCTAAGGATAGAGACTTTCGTTGCCGGCGATGCTGACCTGGCCATCCCACCGGGAGCTGATTTTAATCATTTCCAACAGGTGAGTCAGATCTTACTTTCCCTTATTTTATTTTTTCCTCTCAAAATTCTCCCGGTTATCTTACAAATATAGGGACACAAGTGTAGTTAGTATATTTAATTAACGTTGAAATTATCCTAAGTTCTTAAAAATTATCAAAATCATTTACAGGGCCTACCCTGAGATTTCGGGGGTCCGAGGCGAGCTCCAAAAAAGGGCTCCCTCACATATATGGTATAAAAGAAAGTAGCTCAAATAAAATTTATAAAATTAACATTAAAGCTTGTATAATTAATTTAGATTTGCATTTACATTGATTAATATTCAAGTATTACTCTTCTTGCATTCTTAGACGCAAAATCGTTTTATGGGTGCCCTGGACCTTGGGGGGCCCTAGGTCTGCCCAGGCCCAGGGTCGGTCCTGGTCATCAGGAGCCACGGTTCATTTCGTGCAGCGGAGATCTATGGTTTTCAATCGCAAGGGGTTAATTTTAAAAAAGACCAAAGAGAGCGCTTTTCGAGTAACATACATTTCGTATAGGAAGTAGAAACAGTCCGATGATATGCAGATTTTCATAATTTAAACTGTTTCCGTTTTTCTGATGTCACGTGTCGCTTTCTACTCTTTATCTTTTATTTATTTGATTACTTAAGCGGATGACTTATCTTTTTATATAGTGATTCTGCAAGAAGCAGGGAACGTAAGTTGGTCACAAAGCAGTTCTTCGTCGTTATTTCCAAGAGAACCGTTTGTTATTATTTAATTTACAAATAATACCGATAATTAGACGATGAAACGAATCAAATTCTGTTATAGATAGAAGGAGCGCTAACAATTGCGTATTGGGAGTCCCATGTTTTTGAAGAGATTTCTACATTAGTTCGTTGCAAGATGTAATTAGAAGATCTGTTTCTAGATTTCTCTAACGTTAGAATTGAAATGCATGCATAGTGTGAGGCGAAGGTATTTGTAATAAGCATGCAGATTTGATGAAATTACTCCTGCTTGTTCCCGCAACAAACGCAATCAGGCCATAGTATTCGCTTCTATAATCGTAGCTATCTTTCTCGACAGCATCGTGAACAAATTTCACTGGATAGATAGGAAAATCCGTAAAAAAAAAAAAAAAACTCGTGCAGCTTCGCACTTTATTATACTCGCTCTGTTTACGCGCGACTATCTCTCCATCTTTATTTGCATCCTTTCTGCTTTTGCTTTTCATTTTATCTCGTAATTATTTCAAACGATTCTAATTAAATTAACTAAACGACGAATATTTGTCTGTGTATTATCTTTTGTAGACAGAGTTCGTAAGTGAAGGTAGTAACAGAGGTCAGAAGTCAGTCTGTTAGTGGGTGAACATCTGGGTTCTACTTTCTGTATGTAGTATTTATAATTTGCCTCTTCATTTTCTATTTTCTATTTTAAAGAAATTTTCTATTTTATACAGTGCCCTGTATTAGTGCCATAAGACGATTTTGCGTCTAAGAATGCAAGAAGAGTAATGTTTACTTGAATATTAATCGATGTAATTGCAAATCTAAATTAGTTATACAAGCTTTAATGTTAATTTTATAAATTTTATTTTATGTCAGTGAAGGGGCTCGCCTTGGAGCCCCGAAATCTCAGAGCCGGCCCTGCTCGAGATCAAATCAGGCTTCACTAAGGGAAAGTAAATATTAATTCGAATTTTTCACCGGAACCGTTTATACGACAAGGGAAGTAGGTCACAGACCTGTATACAGGG